TAAAGACATTTCAGAAGGATATATTGAATGTCATGAGGGAGGATGCCTTTAAGGGATGTTTTAAAGGAAGAAGGAGAAATGATACCAGGCCAAGAAGAAAAGGAGAGGACAGAATATTAAATTATTGTTAAACGAAGGCATTTATTATGCAGAGCTAAAGAAATATGATCCAGCTTTTTAAAAATAATGTTTCCTCGTGATTATAAAAATGATGCATATTCATTGTAGAATAATTTTAGAATGCAGAAAAATATGAAGAATTAAATTAGAATCAGTGAGAATCCCACTGCTCAGAGATCACCATTGTTAACATTTTGGCATATTTCTTTCTATTGTTTATTGTTTATGTATGAGTGCATGCACACACACATTGTTGTGTACAGAACTGGCATAATGCTGTATAGATTTTCACCCTCTTTTTTCAATTTAACATTATAATGTGGTCATTCTCTTTTATTGTCAAATATCCTATGAAAATCGGTTTTGGATAGCCATGGAGCATTTCTTCCTGCAGCCATGCTACACTTTATTTATTTCTTGTTGGACATTGAAACTGTTTACAGATTTATGCTGTTATAAATAATGTTACAAGGAAAAAGTTTTATGGCAAACCTTCATCAAGATATCTCTATTGCCTTAGGTGAGAAATTCTTAGATATATTGATGTGAGAGCAAAGAGAAGAGGAACATTTTAAAGCTCTGTGTATGTGTTGCCAAAGTGATACCTAGTTTTCTTGTGATTTAAGGGGACACAAATAGCCCACCTAGGCATTTGAGAACAGTGGCCTTGGGCTTTACGTTGTCACAGAGTAGTGAAAACACATAAACAAAAACACTGAGGAGGAACTGACATACAGTCCCAAGTCTGTTTGGTCAAGGAGAGCTTTTTCTGTCCTCCTACTCATTCTCATCATGAGAAGAAATAAATTTTAATCCAGAACAGTTGGGATCTGATTTTAGACTAAAGGACAGTTCTTTAAATTGAATAAACTTCATTTTTGAAAACCTTACTTCACCATCCTTATTTCCAGTCATTTCTCTTTGGATCCGTGTATAATTCGAAACTAAATTTTAGCTTTACGTTTTTTTAAGGATAAAAAATCTTTATTTTTAGGTTTCATAAGAACATCTTTTCATGTAGTATAAGCAATTAATTAGTTCTGAAGCTTCTAGTGGGCTACCATCACTTTTCTGTGCACCCCGTCTAGTACTTAGGGGCTTATTAAATCCAGACACACTTATTAATATTTTTTATATATATATATATGTTTTCCATTTG